ACTGCAACCAGCAGCTCAGATGTTAGCATGGACCATTTCTCTCTTCCTCTTCACTGTAATGCTGATCCTTAGGGTTAGGGTTTTCCCTCAAACGGCCAGCAACTCCTGGCTTCCAGCATATCCTCTCAAGAATGTTGTAACCGGCTCTTATCAGATCAGCTTGGTCACATGCCATCTTAGACAAGATCATGGTGGCCAAGGGAAAAGGAAGCTGGCTGTGCAGGTCTGGATCGGGTGCTCTCTTCTGGAGCTCTGCAGGGAAAGGAGGAAGGTCGGTCCCATCAAACCACCCAGTCAGAGTAGGGAAGCGGGAAAGTCCACCAAGAGAAAACTGGGCAGTGTGATGGTTAATTTTATGTGTCAATCCGACTGGGTCGTGGGATTCCCAGGTAACCAATTAAACATTACTTGTAGCCACACCTGTAATGCCATCCCTCTTAGGGGCTGAGGCAGGAGAGTCTCAAATTCAAGTCCATCCTGGGCAACTTAGCAAGACCCTGTCTCAAAATTAAAAAGGGCCAAGGATGTAGCTCAGTGTAAAGGCTCTGGGTTCAATCCCTAGTACCACAAAAAATAAAAAAAAACATTACTTCTGCAAGTATCTGAGGGTGTTTCTGAAGAGATAAGCATTTGAACTGGTGGCTAAGTAAAACAGACAGCCTTCACCAGTACGGCTGGGCATCATCCAGTCCACTGCGGGCCAGAACAGAAAGAGCGAGAGAGAAAGGTGAATTCTCCTTTGCCTGACCACTTGAGTTATGGCATGGATCTGCTCCTACCCTCGGTGCTCCTGGTTCTCAGGTCCTTCAGATTTACACTGCATCAACACCAGCAGCCTCCTGGCTCCGAAACCTTTAAACTACACCACTGTCTTTTCTGGGCCCCCAGCTGCATACAACAGACTGTGGACTTTCTCGGCATCCACAGTCATGTGAGCCGATACCCTATCATAAGGCTCTGTCCAGAGAGACACAGACACCCTACTGGTCCTGCTTCCCTAGAAGACCCTGCGGCTCCAGGAAAGAGCCAAAGCCTGGGTGTGGCAGGCAGTCATCAGGAGGCCCCCAGTGATCCCTGTGCTATTAACACCCTGTGCTCCTCTCCCACACTGAGTCAGAGTTGATCTGTGTGACCACAGCATACAGCAGCAGTGATCGCACACCAGCTCCAGGTTAGGTTATAGAAACAGCGGGGCCTCCATATTGGAGGTACTCCCTCCCTCTGGGGTTACTCAGTGTGGAGAGCACCTGCTATAGGCCCACATGGCGAGGCCTCCTGCCAATGGCCACAAGAGCGAGTGGGGGTCCCAGTCAAGCCTTCAGATGACGGCAACCCTGGCCAGCAGCCTGACTGCTACTTCCCAAGACTCTAACCCTCAACTAGGCTGTGCCCAGATTCCTAACTCACACACACACTTTAGAGGGTCATACACAGCTGTTTTAAGTAACCAAGTGAGGAGATAATTTGCTACACATCAAGAAATAACTAATACAATATGCAGAAACAGAAAATGTCCCCACAATAGGCAAAAATCATGTTTACTTGCTTCCTGGTATGGCTGAAAGTATCTCCCAAAGTTCTTGTGTTAGAAACTTAACCTCCAGTGCAACGATGCTGAGAGGTGAGATCTTTAAGAGCAGATTAGGATACAAGGGTAGTGCTCTCATCAGTGGATTAATGTCATTATCACAAGAGTGAGTTTTTATACAAGTGTGTTCAGTCCCTCGCCTCTCTCACACTCTTGCTCCTTCTCACCCGCTATCTCATCCATGCGAAGCTTTCTGCCTTGTTATGAGGCAGCAGCAGGCCCTCACCAGATGCAGGCCTTCAATCTCGGACTTCCCAGCTTGTACAATCACAAGCCAAATTAATTTCTGTTCATTATTCACCACCCAGACGGTGGTATTCTGTTACAGTGGCATAAAACAGACCAATACATATCCTTGAAAGGGACTTCTCATGTAAATCTGTGTCTTCTCTCTTTTAACATCTGTCTCATAGCTTGAGTTTCCTTAATTCAGCAGGATGCAAGGCAATCAATTATTTAGTGACTTACACAGTCTCACTGCAACTGGTTAGAATCCCTCCACATGAGAAACTAGCAGTTGCTTGGGGCCACATAAGCATGGGCTACTTACATGACTTTGTTCTTTGCTGAACCATGAAAGATGAAAGAAAAGCCATTAATTTTGAGTGAAAGGAATGTGTGTGCCTAAATTCTGAGTTTGCTCAGTGATATTTAAGATTTATAATCATGCTCAAAGCCAGTAAAATGCATATGCTCTTAGAATACTTATGAAAAGTAAATTTCACATTTCTGAATTTAATATAGCTAGGTGTTTTTTCTGCACCATTTTTTTTTAATGCAACACTGGGTTTTGGACCCAGGCCCTTCATACTGAGCTATATCCTCAGCTTTTTCTTTGTTTTTAAAGACAAGGTCTTGCTTAGTCACTAAGTTGCCCAGGCTGAACTCCAACTTGCAATCCTTCTGTCTAAACTTCCCAGACTGCTGAAATTACAGACATGTGACCTCTATGGCCAACTAAAATATACCTTTCAATTAGGCAAGGTAACATAAGAATTACACTAAGAAAATGATAACAGAAAATGATAATAGTTAACATTTATTGAATATTTATGAAGCGTATTTACTGAGCCAACAAATGCTCTCTCATTTTATCCGTGCAATAATTTAATGAGGTAGAGTGTTCTTATCCCCATTTTAAAACTAGGAAAATTGAAAGATAGGTTAATTAACCCACATAAAGTCACACAAGTAGTAAGTAATACAGTAGATCTAGGACCTGATCCCAAAGTCCAAACCAAATTAAGCTAAGTCACCTAATCAGCCCTGCCACCTGAGCACACACACACACACACACACACACACACGCATGTCCCCCCCTGCCAGCCTGTGACACTCCATTCTGACTATGCCCTACCAGCTACAGCCCTCCCTATCCCCAAGCAACAGCCCGGGTCTACCATCCACTCACACAGACTGATGCTCTTGCTATGGCCAGAAGCAAGAAGAAACATCTGAGAACTGATAGAGGTGAACACTATCTAGAACATGCTGGCGATCAAGCTTGTTAATACTCAGGAGACTCATCAAATATTCATCTGTTCTGTAAATGTCCCACCTGCAAACTACAAACTTTCAGACACTTTAAACTCTTAGCTGCCCACTGGTTAAACAGGAAGTTTCCTAATTACAAAGCTGTCTAGTTAAGAAATCATTTTTTTCCACCCACTTTATGGGATGAAATTTTCCCTATGATCATCACATCTAAAACACTCTTACTGTCACACACTCACAGTAGCTTTACACATCCGGCACCTTGGCACCCTCATGTTCTCCTTACTCAGTCTGCCTGGCTGGGTAAGGCCACCCTCTCTGCTTCACACACGCCTGCAGATGTGCAGCAATTCACCCCGAAGCACACAATTTCAGAGTAATGGAGCAGGACTTGCTGTCACTGATGATTCAGAACCAGTGACTCTAGAGACTTCCACCTTTATTGTGAAGACCACATGCAACTATGCCACAGAATCCTGCCATGGCCAGATGAGATGGAGGACCAGTACAGAAAACACCAAGTTAGGTGCCTATTAGCTGGCTCTAAAGCTCCTGAGATGTCATTTTAGAAGGGGAAGAAAGGGATGTGGCTCAAGGAATGGAATCCAGATGAAGTCATGGCAATAACATTCAATCACAGATACACAAGGGCATCGCCTCGCAGAACCAAGGGATAGCAAAGGCTGCCATGTAACTCAGCCAGCCTGGGTGCCCTGGCACAACCGTGGGTCTTAATTCTCTCCTGGTCTTATGTAAAAACACTTTCATGAACAAGCAATAAAGTACATATTTCATCCAAAAGAAGGAAAAAACTGAAAATAACCCAAGCGCTAAAATGCCCATGTTAAATTGATCGATTAATATGGCTAATTTACTATGGTACATTAACTTGGTGAAATACTACACCCAGGTATATAAAGATAGTTAACATAAAAACTGCTCTTGTACAGTAAACAGAGGAAGGAAGTAGACTAAAAACCAAAGGGCTATAGATTATAAGTGCAGTATATAAACATATGTTCAAATGTGAACAAATTAAGTAAAAATGTGCATGTTCTATGTGAGTTGGGTGCTTTTTGCTCCACTAAAGTTTTCTTTAATAAGATATAAATAACATCATAGAAGAAAAGGCTCTTAAATAAAAATAGGCTCAATCATGGACACAATTAGAGAAATGCAAATTTAAAAATACTCTGCCAGCCTCATTTTTCTTCCATGATTTTATCAGGAACCTGGTACCTGGACCCTGCCTTCACGCACACATCTGGGACAGCAGTGTCACCCGACGTGCTGCTGTGGGTCACTGTGGCCCAGCATCTGCAGAGGGCAAGTTGATGGCCTCTACCCACCATACAAATGCACTGTGTCTTGACCCAGCGAGTCTACTCCTGGGACCACTTCAAACAAATGCACTCACACACGAGTGAGATAACACACACACAGGGTTTCAGCTGTGACTATTGGTACTAGCAAAAGATAGGAAACACCCTCAGTTGTCGGCAGACTGGTTAAACAAATTCTGGTCAGTGAGATAGTGATATATCGAGAGCTATTAAAAAGATGGCAGCCCCCATGCCCACCAACACAGAGCCCTCCCCAAGATGTAAAGTGAGTGGTTTTGGGAGGAAGGAGTATACACACACACGTGGTTGAATATACTAGGATGATCTCTGAAATCGGTAATGCTAATTGCTTCTATGGAGCAAATTGGGTGACAGGGACAAAAAAAAGGCAGTCACAAAGTTTAACCTACAGAATACTGAACCACGCGCATATGTATCATCTCATAAGTTAAGCTGAAATGAATACATTTTATTTCCTTTGGTCACTCATTTTATTCAAAAGTGTGAGTGAAGCTTGTGCGTGGGTTTTAGCCAAGCCTCCGGGTGCTTACTTCTCGGTCCTTTGCCCTCCCTACCTTGCCAATGCCTGGACCTTCATGGTGTGCCGCTCTTCCTGCTCGGCCACCTTCCTTTTCAACGTGTCCACCTCTTGTCGCAGCACAGCTGAGTGCTCCATCTCGCCATCAAGCAGGTTCCGCAGCGACCTGAGGAGAGGAGTCCCAGCAGTTCAGATGCTGACGGCCAGAGCCCATCAAGCCCAGCACACAGTTCTGGACCTCAGTCAGGTCCTAACTCACTGGCTGTCCACAGGCTCTGCACATCTGTCTTACAGAAACTGATACAAGCAGATAGCAAACACGGGCCAAGAGCCTAAGAACAACGATCATGATGAACCCCAGGGCAATCATCTGTGACTGTTCTTCAGTGTTCCAGTTCTCCTGTGAGCAGGCCACACATCTGACAGCTCAGATCAAGGGAAAACAACGAGTTGAGCAAATCTCAGGCGAATCTCCTTAAAGACACCCCTTTCAAAGGTACAGCACATTAAACAGAGACATTCTGTCACAAACACACAAAGAGATTTAGCAAAGGAAAGGGTGTCACAGGGGCCAAAAGAATAACCTGCGGCATAAAAATAGACTACCTGCTCAGATCACGGGACAGACATCTGGTCTCTCTTCTACCATTTCCTACAAAGCACACTTTGAGCTGCTTCCTCACTATCCCCAGGCCACACACACACACACATACACACAGCAGGGTACACAGCTTTACGGTTAGAGGCATCATGACTAATGTTTCATATTCCCAAATTTCTTGACTCCCCCAAACACGCTTTGTGTATCTGTCATTCCTGATCTTAAGAAATGGAAAAGAATAGTAGGTCTTCTAGAAATCATCACAGATTATCATCTAGAAATGAACAAACATGATTCTATGGACCATTTACTTCACTGCACCTGAAGAGCTATTTTTAGAAAACAACAACCCAACCGAGGTGCATCAACACACCAAATCTAAAGGACACTTGGAAGGTGACATTAGAATGTAACAAAGTATCTGGCCCCTCTCCCATCTCCACTGTTCACTGAATTCTCCAAGACCTGTGTCCTTAGAGAGAGCTTGGAGAAAATTTCCCATTTGCGGCCTCAGGCCTCCTGACACAAACACGCTCATTGTCTTCCCTCTTTCAGAAGAAGAAATTAACAGGCAGTGAATAACGTTCCTCCCAGGTAGACAGATCCTATGGCTTCTTCCAGGATAACAGTTCTGGCTGGAGCATGGGAAAAGAATTCTGTAGTGGCTACAGCCCTTTGTTCAAAGTTTATCTTAGTAGAACATTGTGCTTTATAAAAATTCCTTTTAAAAACATTCTCTTTTGTTTTAGAAATTATGCTTCTTTGCTCTCATAAAGGGCGAACAAGAAGCTTGTCAAACAGGGCCCACAATAAAGTCAGAGAGCTGTGATTGGTTGTCACCATGAACCCTTAATTACTGCTCTTAATAAAGGAATAAGAAGGTGATATACACACAGGGGGACTACTGCAAGGGCCAGGCCAGCCTGAGCTACATAGTGAGTTCAAGGTCAGCATGAACTACACGGCAGGACCATGTCTCAAAAAATAATTTAAAAAACAACATAAACACGTATTCACATGCATCCAGGCATACATGCACCCCTACCTCCTGCAGGCAGTCGATCGTTGCAGGCAAGCCTTCTACTGACCACCCAGTGTCAAGACAGACTGGTATGAAGAAACACCTTCAGTCAGATGGTAGCCATGTAGCCAATACCAGGTAGCATCCAGCAATTGTTTTAACCAGGAAGAAGAGAATGAAGCACTTTGCCTACTCTGTATCTAAAGTGAACCTGGCCAACTCAAAAGAATCCATCCGGCCCTAAGTATCCTTGACTTGGACAAACTTTAAGGAAAGTATTTGAGTACATGGAACATAATATATTGACCCCCAATTAAAGGTCACTCAAAAGACTGCTCTAGGGGTAGATAGGTGAGAGGCAGAGGGTGTGGGGTTTTCTTAATGAGTTGATGGAAATGTTCTAAAATGGGTGGTGGTTGCATGTATCTGTGAGTGGTACTAAAAATCACTGGACTGTATGTCTGAATGGGGAGATGTAGTATATGTGAATTATATCTCAATAAAAGCCTTTTTTCAAAAAAGAATTAAAGACTGCTCTTCAAACTTCTTAGCCTGTTCTAAGGCAGTACTGTTATTATTAGGTTTTCATTCCTTCTTTGCACACAAGCCTCAACAGATATATCACAGGGGCATATCCAGAAAAACTTATGAAACAGCCAGACACTACTGCCAGCAAAGCAAAATTTCCTTCATCTGTTACATTCCTTCTGTGTCAGAGGTGAAATATCAAGGAAGAGGCCTCTATCAATAGTGAAGATCCCAGTACCTGTTCTCTTCTTCCAACTCGTCTTTCCTGTTCATCATGGCCACAATGGCTTGTCTCAGTTCACCTAAGGGAAAAAAGAAAAGTCAGAACCAACCGGGTGACCTTGCCTGTTCCCCACCTCTCTGGATTTTAAGTTATTTAGGAGAGCCTGTTTAAATAAGTTCCCTGCCTCCTTCCAAACTAATTCTTACATAGTCTAAGAGATCCGATGCGCCTAGTGATCACTTTTACCAGCCACACAAAACAGAAGGGAAGGATGGGATGAAAGTAAATGAAGAAGTGTTTCATTGGTGAACACACCCAGCTTACAGTTTCTAAGTGTTTCCGCATAGCCTTGCTCCTGGACAACATCTACTCTGGGCAATGATTTATTCCCTATTATAGCTGTTTATCACCCTAGACAGACCAAGTGGTATTTGGTGCCATACTGACATAGAAATCATTATTCAAGTTTAAGCAAAGATCTGGTTTTCCTACACCTCCTTCTATAGTTAGCACACAGGTAACAGTACTAGCAGGGTGTCCTCGCTACACAGTCCATAATTACTCAGGGGATACTCTTACCATTCTGACATCATCAATACAAGAAAGCACTCACAGATACAAAAACATAACTTTCATTTAAATATACATCCGAGTATCTTATCTGTACCGAATTTAACTGTCACTGCACATGTTAAGAGTCATCACCACATCACTTAGTCAAACTTGAAGACTAGAAATTTCTAGATTTCTCCTGAAGAACTAGTATAATTTTGTCCATTTAAAGGATGCTATAAACTATATTTCCCTCTTAAGAATGGTTGCTAGGAAGCTCAGGGTCAAAATTACACATACAGCAGGAGGCCACGGCTATGTCCAGTAGCACAAATTATGTCCAGAACCAAGCACTGCAAAAGCTTCTGGAGCATACAGGTCCAGGCCATGAGGCCACAACAGAGACACTGGAGGGACTCAGTTCACAGTGCCATGTCCTAAGACCAGGACCCATGCATGTACTCATTCATTCACTCAACATCCATTGAGCACTTACTGGGTTCAGGTACCCTCCCAAGGAAGAAGCCCAAATCCTCACTTGCCTAAGGAAGAAGCACCGTCAAAGGGGTTGTTTTGTTTTGTTTTTTTGACACAGGGTCTCACTATGTACTTGAGACTGACCTCAAACTCACTATGTAGCCCAGGCTGGTCTCGAACTCAAAGCTATCCTCCTGCCTCGGCCTCCCCAGTGCTGAGATGACAGGCATGTGCCACCATGCCCGGGGAGGGTTCTTAATGGAAAACAATACCACACATTCATATACACCTGTGTGAAACAGAGTCTGCAAGACTTTTCATTCTAAACTCAACCAGATAATTAGGGTCATAGCTCTCAGCCTCTCTGAGCTCTTCTCTCAGGCAGAAGTGGGGAACAGCAACCACCAACTCACCTTCCTGAGGAGCTGTGAGGATCAGAGGAGAATTAGTACTATGTAAAGGCAGTGTCTCTTACAGACTATATTAAGACGCATTAACAGTTTAGAAGAATTCATCATAATTCTATTATGAGTAGGAATTTTAACTAAAAACATTGACAAATTTGTGGAGAAAAAAGAGTAATTTATTCTCATAACATGGCCATGAAAAAAAAAAAAAAAACAGACTCAATATATTATTGAAGACAGGTAAAATAAAACTTCTTTGGTGCGTATCACCAGCAATCCAGGGCAGATGGCAAGGAAGTTTTGTGGACCCAGATTCAGGGAATTGCTCCTTTCCCAGTCATGTCTGAGCTCTCACTGTTCTATGAGGCATCTGTCTGCCTTGAAATTCTTGGCTGGCCCAAACTGCACCAAGGAACAAAGGCAGAGGACATTCACAGTCACAACAGGAGGCTGGAGGAAGTGAGATCTTGTCCTAATCTTGTCCTAATCAAAGAAACTACTCTATTTGCCCCACATTCCTGCCAGCCATCTGTCTCTGTTCCATGATGCCATATCACACGCACCGCTGTCTGTCTGCTGAACCTAGAGTGAAATGAGACTTCTACAGACAGGCGTCACCATGCAGACAACTCTGCCACCAGTGAGCTCAGCGAGGGCTGCCCCAGACTGCAAAGCACACGTGGCAGGCCCACAGTCCCTAGACTCTGCTGTGCCTCTCCCCCAGGGAACCACTCATCACCAAATGCATGATCCTGTGCTGCAACATTTGCATTTTTCATTCCATGCAGGAAAAACAACTTATTCGGGGCCTCAGACTAATACTGATGGCACCATTTTGCCCCTACCCACAGAGCCTCTCCCCAGTAGATGTCATCCCATTGATTTCTTGGCCAGAATCCATCTTTCCTCTTGTTCAACTCCATTTCCAATTTGATAAAATCCAATTAATCTATGCAGGCCGAGATGAAAATGTGCTTCTTCTGAGAAACCTCCTTGATTGGCCTGGCTTTCTAGCACAGTATAATGTATGCAACGATTGGTCACCTCTGTAAACAGCACGCCATGCACCTTGGTATCTCCAGCTCCTCCACAGTGAGGGCTTCATCAAGGTACATGGATTTGATTGTGAAAATGAACAAATGCCCAGAGAGGTTATTCCTATTCGACTTCTATTCTAGACTCCCTAACCTAACAGCAAAAACGGGCTATCACAGACCAAGGACTTTCCACGTGCCTAGCAATGCCTCAGCCCTAACCAGTCTTGCTTCCACTGTCACACCACCTACTGTGGGCCTTCAGTAACACAGACGAGGAAAGGGAAACTGCAGCCATTCCCTCCCTGCTAGATTCACAACAGCTTCCAAAAGTTCTGAGGGGAGTAAAATTGTACAAGGCAGGTCCAAGAGCTAGAGAGGAATGAAGCACTGAAGTGGGGGCAAGAGGAGGATCCTATAGGGATTCTAGCAGCTTCCCTCCAACGACAGGAGCAGCATCCACGCAAAGTTGTGATCAACAGGCTCTGGGTTGGGCAGATCCGGGTTTAAAAACACACACACATATTTCAGCTACTTATCTCATGGTGACTTCAACCTGGCTTCTGCTTTTGCAAACTACAAAATGGGATAATGCCACATTCACTGGAGGATGGATAAAAGAAGACAGTAAAACTCCAGCCCATGCATGTACTTCGTGAATGCAGGCTGGTGATCGGGGTTCTGAATGTTTGAAGCATGCTCTCTACTGTCCGGTCTCAAGCTCAAATCCCAGCTCCAAAGCTGAGTAACCCTGGGCAAATTACCGACTCTCTCTGAGCACCAACTCCCTTATCTAAAAAATGGCATCGTAATAGTTGCTATCTTAAGGAAGTGCTAAATGGACTTAAGAAGGACCTATGCGAGTAAGGTGCTTAAAACAATGTCCAGCACATAGGAGCATTTAACAGGTGTTACTGATCACTATAATTAGCACCTTTCCCTCCAACGATAGAGAACAGAAAGGTGGAAACAAGGTAGCAGTGACTGTCACAAGGGCCGGTCATTCATGCTGGGCACATTTTCAGGACTTACGGGATTTACTAAACACCTATATACTTCAACCTTGGGAAATAAAAAGGAACTTTTGAAAGGGCTCTATGCCCTAGAGCAGCAGAATAGATGATGAAATCTTCTCAACTGTCAAACAAGATCACTATGGGCAATGTGAGAAAATGGCACTGGGTTCTCACTCAGCCAGGAATGTGTCATTGGGAAGAGTCTAAGCAAGTGTCTGGATTTGAGGCTTCATAGGTCCAGGATGAGGAAGTCTCCAATACGGTCATTCAGATTTGGCTGAAAATGTTACATTCCACGAAAGAACCCTCAGAGGAGAACCCTTCCTACGATGACCCATAGTCATACAAAGGCTCATGTGGTGAGAAGAGCCTTACGTAGTAGCCATTCAAGCAGCTCGCCTTGGGGGAGTCCAAGTCTCACCACACAGAAGGCGCCTGTCACAAACAGCTGGATGACCAGTGCTGATGCCCTCCACACTGTTGTCCTGGTAGGACCTTTCTCTTCCCTCCCCGTGCCCCACACTGTACGCTTCCTCTTAGAGGGGCCCGTGTATCTCCAGAGCGACCAATAACACAAGCACAGATGAAACAATGTTCTCAGGGTGGGAGTCTTTCCAAAACGCCACCTCAGAAAGAATAGCTGCCAGAGTGTGCTTCCTGCCTTCCCCCACCACCAGGGCAGAACACTTGTGCTGGTGATGGAAAAGGGAATGAACCAAACTGCTATGCCCCAAAATGCTCCTCCAACAGGCTTTACCTTGAACAGAAATTCGCTTTTGCTCTCACACGGTCTTTGTGCGACTTTCCTCAGGCAGTAGACAGAGGAAGTAACACTGGGGTGATTTTGTTCACCACATGAATGTTATACTCTGCTAAGTGCAAGTGCGATGCACAGGCAGAGGCGCTCCCTAACATGTACTTTCCTCTCCCTCTCCCCAGCACTGTGCAGCCCATTATTTGTCTAGTCTCTATCACTGTGATCGCCATCCTCTTTAGTACCTGCCACATCACACAATTCCAGTGAAAACAGAACAGCGCTTCTGAACTATGGCTTCTGCAGAGCCTGCCAAGTTGGGCTCTCCCTCTCCTCAGGCTGAAAGACAAATGGCCATCCAGCCCGAAATCACTTCCTTGCTTGGCTGCAAAGGACTGAACTGCAAATCCATTCAAATAGACAGGAGAATGTTCACTTCAACCCTCAGAAATCAATCTGGGATAAAAGTCTGCATTTCTAATCACTGTGGAAAGGGTGAATCCATCCTCAAATGTTGCCAGGATAACAAAGCATTTTGGAAGCAAAAAAAAAAAAAACAAAAAAACACACAAAACAAAAAATAAAGGACTTAAATCTCTGCTTTTGCTAGATAATGAAATAAATTTCATACAGTAACATTTAAATATGAGAAATGAAGAAAGGAAGCAAACAAAACCATATAAATATATGAACAAACATTTATGCAGTCTTTTTAAATGTGAAACCACAGAATGAGCTCACAAGGGAAATGACAGATGCTATCGATTTGTTTTAATGTCTGCATATCAAGGGCCGATCTAACAAAAAATAATTGGTCCAGTGTTTGTGAAAATAGTAAG